TCTCTCTCTGCTTCTGGGCCACCATGATGTGAGGACCTTTGTTTCATCAAACATTCTTTGCCATGGCGTTCTGCTTTACCATAGTCCAAAATGATGGGGCCAAACAACCAGGGACAGAAACCTTTGGAACAGTGTGAGCCAAAGAAATCTTTTCTCCTCTTAGGTTGATTTTCTCAGGTGTTTTGTCATGAAGATGGAAGCCAACACATCTGCTGATACCTGCAACTTTCAGAGGGTGGCTCCTGGGCCCTGGAGCTCCTCTGCCATCTAGAAGGTTAAAGACCTTGCTCTGTCTTTCTTGGGGGCTCCGTGCCCATGTGCTCAGGGACTGGTTATGGACCAAATGTTTGTGTGTCCCTCATTCATATTGTAAAGCCTGAGCCCTCTAATGTGACTGTATTTAGAGACAGGACCATTAGAAGGTAAAAGTAAATGAACTTTAGTAGGATAGGGCCTGAATGTGATAAGATTAGTGTCCTTATAAGAAGGGACACCAGGAACTGGGGCCAGTGGTGTGTGTCTGTAGTCCCAGCTACTCCAGAGGCTAAGGTAGGAGATCACTTGAGCCCAGAGTTTGAAGCCAGCTTGGACAATGTAGCAAGAGCCTGGAATTGTTTATTCCAATGCAATAAACAATGAATATAGAAGAGATGTGCTTCTCAGAAGAGGAGTCAGAGTGCTCGAGTTTTCAAAAGGCCTATGACTCAAAAAATGTTATGAACCATTGAATTATAGGAAACAGGATCCCGTGAGGCTAGCATCTACATACATTCACAAAGAGGGCTTAGGGTTGCTGTTGATAAGTGAAGCTGTGTGTACTTTAATTTCTCTTTGGTGGATTTTCATATGGGATTTTATTTCTTTTGCTGGTGTTGGTTCTGGATGCAAGTGATGCATGATGCCCTTACAGGTGGATGTTGGATAGTGTGTGGATGATGACTCAGTAGCCAAATGGCTTCTGGATGCCAAAGCAATGCTTCTTGTATCAGTCAGCCATTGCTAAAATAATGCTGTGTAACAACCACCCAAAACACAATGATTTACTTATAATAAAAGACTCATTCTTTCAAAAATTAGAAAATTTACATGAACACATCCAAACATAAAATGTATAACATACTTACATGGTACCATGTGATGCATGATGCTTTGATACATGTATACATTGTGTAGTGTTTAAATCAGATTGAACATATTTATCTCCAGGTGGTTAGGTCTGTCATCCCAGCACCCTGGGAGGCTAAAGCAGGAGGATCACAAGCTCAAGCCCAGCCTGGGCCATTTAGCAACTTAGCAAGACCCTATCTCAAAGTAAAAAATAAAGAAAGCAGTGGGGATGGAGCTCAGGACAAAAGCCCAAGTACTGCACAGAAAGTCTATCTCTCTGGTTGCCACTTCTTTAGGGAGAAAGCATTAAAAATCCTCTTTTCTACCTTTTTTCTTCTTGTGGTTGGGAATTGAACCTGTGGTTGGGCCTTTATGCATCAAGTGCTCATCTGCCGAGCCCTTTGTATGTTTTTTTTTTGGATACAGGGTCTCACTATGTAGTACAAGCTAGCCTTGAAATCACAGCAATTCTCCTGCCTCTGCCTCCCAAATGGTAGGCTTTCTTTCTGCGCTTTGAAATATACACTACAGTATCATTATCTGTGGTTACTGTACTGTGCGGTAACAATCGGAACTCTCTTGTTTTAGTGCTGGGGCCTTGTGCATGTTAGGCAAATGCTCACCACTGAGCCGCACCCAGCCTGCACATCGGAACTTCTTGCTCCTGACTATAAATTAATGACCACTTCTCTTCCATCCCTCCTACTCTCTTATCCTCCCCAGCCCCAGAAATCCCCCATTCTACCCTTCCGTGATAGCAACACTTTTAGATTCCACACATTAGTGAGATCATGTGGACCTTGCATTTCTTTTCTTGGTTCACTTCACTTAATATCACGACCCCTCATTCCATCGATGTTGTCACTAATGACAAGATTCCATCCTTTTAAATGGCTGAGTAGTATTCCACTGTGTCAACAATAAGGCTTTATTCTGTTCTCCTGGTCTGCAGGCTCAGCGGATCTGTTCAGGACCTGGATAAGTGACTTCACCTCAGGCTGTGGATTGGTTGGGCTTAACTGGTGTCAAACTGAAGGTTGGGCTTGTTCTGCTCCATATTCATTTGTCCTGTGGGCCTGGATAAAAAGGAAGCAACTCCCGGTCATGCTCTTGACCTGGCAGAATGCTAAATTGTGTGGTCACATTTATGTCTGTTGTTTAGATCAGCCAACATCACACTGGCCAAAGCAAATCATAAGACTAAGCCCCATACAGCCTGAGTGTCCTTTATCCAAACTGCTGCAGTTGGAAGTATTTTTTTTTTAATTTTCAAGTTAACTCTTTATTGATATTATTTTATGGTTATATTGATCACACACATATATTTATTTTAGTCACTGGTTCTCTTAAAGACTTCCATCATTAAAGTACTCAATTTTAATAACAAATTATTGCTCAGACAACATCAGAATTCGCTCTAGACAACAGTACTTTAAAATAACTTGGATGGTTCACTTTATGATTCCATGAGACAAGTGTAAATTGAATGTTCCTATTAAATATTTGCAATGACATTTTTAATCTTAGAATATGTTTTTGCTTAACAAAAGAGTGTAGTGACAAACATTTTCAGTAACAATTCTGTAGCTTTCAGAACAGAAAGTTCCCTATTTTAAAATCCTACTCTGGTACTACTATTCTAGAATATAAACTTCAGGATATATGGTCTATTGTGCACTGCAAGCAACATAATTTTATTTCTTTTCTATTAGTATCGACTACTGAAATTAGAATATTCAAGTTTAGAGATGGTTTCTTCGTTAGAAAAGTTTGTGTGGTCAGTGTGAGAACTAGGACTTCCAGCGTTGCTCAGCCGGGACTTCATAGAACCGACCTTCTCTTCAGGACCTTGCGCTCGGCCTGTCACGGTGCCTTTGCTGATGTTCTTCACCCAGCCCACGACGCCTATCTTCTCAGCATCGCCTTCCGTGCACATTCTGAAGCAGACACCCTGCACTCTGCCGCACACCTCGTGGTCCACCGACTTGAGCCGGGCGGCGGCACACATGGTGGCGGCCGCCTCTGCGGAGAGCGGGTGCGGAGGGGAGGCGCACCAGGCCGCGCACCGCGCTGTCGTTGGCCGGCTGCACGCGAGCGCGGGGTCACGCGTCGCCGGCAGGAAGTATTTCCGATTGTTTAGATTTTTAGAATTGTTTTTTTGGGGGGGGTGGGTTTCCATTACCGGGAATCGAACTCACGACCTCGCGCTTGCCAGGCAGGCGGTGTGCCGCTGAGCTAAATCCCCAGCCCCTAGGTTTTTAGAATGTTTGTGGGTACCTAATGAGATATCTGGGGAATGGGGACCAAGTCTAGGCTGATGTTTCGGGCATACCCTATACACATAGCCTGAAGTAAACTTTAATTTAATATTTGAATTAATTTTGTGCATGAAACGAAAGCTCACGGTATGGAATTTTCCACTTGTGACATCATACTGGCATTAGAAAACCTATGAATTTTGAAGCATTTTGGGCTTTGGATTAGGGGTGGGCAGCCCTTTTCAATGCGGTGGGGAAATATATTCCACCTGCAGCTGGACAGCTACACTCCTAGAAATGTAATCCCATCTGCCACCGCTCCCAAGCCGAGTTTCTGGGAGGCAGGCGGAGCGCGCGGGTCCAGATAACATCTCCGGCAGCCCCGAGTCCAGCTGTGTGCTGAGCCCCGCTTAGCCTTGGGCACCCCAGGGTTACCAGCTGGTCAGTCTCCCTTCCCCTCCCCTCAGGAAGCCATTTCTGAATTGGGACCCTGTCATATGCAGCTACGCGTCTCAGTACACGTTCTCCATGCGGTAAATCAGAGTCCTCATCTCTGCCCCATGACACCAGCACTTGGTGTTTGTACTAGAGCATCCGTCGCCGCACAACTCCATCCCCACAACGTTTTATGCTTTCCCTTTTATCAGTACACGTTTGCAGTGCATATGTTCACATCCTTGTGTGGAGCTGGTGTGTGTATGTTAACGCATCTTCATTCTTTCCTTCCCTTTTTTTCCCCCTCGCTCCATCTCTCAATCTCCTTCCCCTCTGAGAAAGATCTCCCTGCTTTCTATTATCTATCTTTTATTTTGTTCTTTATTTATAGTTTGGGTTTCTCATATAAGAGAGACCATGTGCTATTTAAGTTCGAGTGTCTGATTTTTTCACTCACCATTATGGTCTCAAGATGCATCCATTTTCCTCCAAGTGACTCAAGTTTATCCATCTTTATGGCAGGGTAGTACTCCATGGTGTGTAAATACCACATTTTCTTTATCCATTCACCTGTTGAGGGGCATATAGGCTGCTTCCGAGATAGCTAATATGAGTTGTGCTGCTATAAATGTAAGTTTATAGCATTCATCACTGTGCTATGATGTCTTTAATTACCTGGAAGCCGGGTCAAATGGAACCTCCAGTTTTAGTTTTTTTGAGGAATCTCCATACTGATTTCCTTAGTGGTTTTGCTAGTTCACATTCCCACCAGCAATGTAGGAGGGTTCCTTTTCCCCCTGTAGCCTCACCAGCATTTATTGTTATTTGATTTCTTTATGATTGCCGTTCTTTCTGGGATAAGATGGAATCTCAATGTTGTTTTAATTTGCATTTCTCTAATGGGCATTGATATTGAGCATTTCTTCATGTATTTGTTGGCCTTTTGTACTTCTTCTTTTGAGAAGTTTCTATTCATTGCAGTTGCCCATTTTTTGACTCTTTTATTTGGGGGGGTCTGATGTTTTTGAGTTCTTTATATATTCTAGATCTTATTCCTCTGTCTGCCAGTGTAGCTGGCAAAATTTGTCTCTCCTTTGGTGGTTTGTCTATTTATTCTGTTGATTGTTTCATTTGCTGTGTGGAAGCTTTTTAATTTAATATGATCCTGTTTGTTGATTCTTGGTACTATTTCCTGTGCAACTGGGATTCTATTCAGAAAATCCTTGCCTATGTCTATGACATCGAGCAGATTAAATGTTTCATTTTAACATTTAGTTCTTTCATTTATTTTGATTTTAGATGAGTACTGGTGAGAGATATGACTTTAGTTTCAACCTTCTGCATCTGCATAGCCATTTTCCCCAGCACCATTTATTAATGAGGCTGCCTTGCCTGCAGTATATATATTTTTTCAGTATATGTTTTTGGCCCCTTTCTGACCTCCACAATTTAAAAGAGGAGAGTATTTATTTATTTTTAATATTTTTGGTTTTTTTTTCGGGGGGGCAGGGTCTCACTAATGTAGTTTAGGCTCTCCTTGAACTTGCTTATGTAGCCCAGGCTGGCCTCAAACTCATGGAAATCCTCCTGTCTCAGCCTTCTGAATGCTGGGATTATAGGCATGCACCACCATTCCTGGTGTGAGAGTTTTATTTTGGCTCAGGGTTTTTAGATAATTCAGCCCATGGCTGGTTGGCATGGCAGCAAGGTATGGTGGAAAAAATGTGCTTGCCTCATGGTGACCAGGAAATGGGGGCAGAAGCAGGGACAAGAGTACACCTGTCTAGGCCATACCCAGTGTCCCACTTCCAACCGGGTCTCATGGTTCCTAGCAGCACAGTCAGTCTTAAACTCACTGATAAGTACAGTGCCCCCCATGACCCAACCACCTTCCACATACATGAGACTTTTGGAGGGGACATTTTAAACATCTACATCCTAACAGTATTAGTACTCACTTTTAGTCTTTACTGATATTCCATGTGAAGGGTGGTATGTTGTTTAATAATTTATTTACCATTAATATCAAACAGTCTCTGTATGCTTACTGACCATTTGTATTTCTCTTCTGTGAACTGGACTTGTCTTACCTTTAGAATGTGACGGGTCCTCAGCGTGGAGCTGGGTTTGTAACCAGAATACATTTCTCAAGTGTTTTGGGGGCTTAAATGGGTTTTGCTGTTGATTATAATGTCCCCCCAGGCTGCGATTGTTTTTACCTAAAGGCAGCTGATATTTCTTGTTGAAAAAGGGCGAAAGACTTATGCTTTTCCCCTCAGCAGCCTCAGTAAATGCTATTTTGGATTAGAGCCTGAGAGTAAGACGAGATAGAGGGTTGAGACAGCTGTCATAAGGTCTGTAGAAAGTGGCACCAGGGCTCACAATTTCATGGTAACTGCTCTTTGGAACTGTGACACCTTTCTAGGGCAAGTCCCATTTTGAAAGAGCATTTGCCTATTAAAAATCCCTGAATATATGAGTATAACCAATTTCAGGGGCATGGAACAGTTTAGAAAAAGAAAAAAATTTTAGGAAGCCAAGTTAGTGACATGATGATTTGAAATGGGAACTTGGGAATCTGATGCTTAGGTTTTAATTCTGAGGGGAAGCAAAGAGTAGAGTGGTTTGAACTATCTGTAGAATCAGCATTTATGAGGTTAGCATCCCCACGATCCAATCACTTGCCTGAAGCCCACCTCTGAAGACATCCGACTTTGGGGAGTACATTTTTTTTATCCAAACCATAACAGAAGAGCTTTATATAAATGCAGATTCTCAATCTCAGCCCAGCAACTAGTGAATGAGAATTTGTGTGTGTTCTTTGGAGCCAAAGGAACCTGGCTTCTGATTTTGTTTGCACCACATGTTTTGGGGATTGTGAGAAAATTTATGATTATAGTAAAGCCTTGGGCATCTGGCAGTCATAAGCGGCCTCCCATTCAAGCAGCAAGCAAGCTTGTAAAATTGGGTCCATTCAGGGTGGTTTGGCGATAGAATTGGGCAAACTAGTCGGCCTTCTCCAAGCCTCAGTTACCTTACATGTGAAAAAGGAATAATACTAGTAACCAACTCCCTGGGTTATTGTGCAGATTAAATGAATGGCCTGTTACAGAGGGTGAAGGTTAGGATACTGTGACAGACAGCTCCTCCCCCTCCAACACAGGACAGACGATTGCGTCTCTTTTGCCAAGTCTGTGATGAGAGCCCGGTTGGCAGCTGTTCGCATCCTTCCAGGATCCTGCTAATTCTCATCCTGTCCTTCTGTGATTCCTTAGGGAATAGGATAGATTAAGACAGTCATGTACCACCACACGTGCACTGTTTTACCTGTAACATTTCTCAGCCTGAGACACTTTGAAGCAGTGATCCTGGGCACAGGTGTGATGTATTACTGCCTCTGTTGCTTGGCGGGAGGGGATTACCCAGGTCTTTCTAATTACCTGGTCCACAGGGAATAAGGGTGCTGCCTTCAGTTTGGAGCGCCCAGCGTGCTAGTGCATTTAAATACCTCCCCATGGTGCGAGGCTGATTAGCTACATTTGCTAAGTGCCTAACAGCTGCTGTTAGTCTTTAATGATCTTAATTACCAAAGTAACTTGGCTTAAAAAAAAAAAAAAAATTCTTGGGAGTCGTCCCCCCCCCCCCCAAGAGTCCCAGGGGAATCTGTGTTTTTGTTCAGCATCTGTGTGTGGGGGACCGGAAAGGAATGTTGGCTGGACGCTGAAGGGTTCTAGCGGATGGGGGTGACCATCAGCCCCGGATTTGGCAGGAAGGGTAAAGCCTGAGATTGAAATGACTCTGCTCTCATCCTAGGGCGAATGGATTATGTTCTCAAAGCACTTGTCCTTACAGATGAGCAGGGAGAAGATTTCACATTTCTATATTCAGTAACAGTTTGTCTTGGTACTAAACTGAAAATCAGTTGCTTTGCTAGCTTGCTTGTTCACAGACCAAGACACATATTTGCATTCCCTCAAAGAATCACTTTGTAGCTATGTGCAAAGTCACCCTTTGGAAATGGATTTTCTTATGGTTTCTGGCTGCTTCCTCTGCTCTCCTTTCCTTCTCTTCCCCTCCCTCTATCTCCTCTTCCCCCTCCTCTTTCCTCCCTCCTTCTCTTTTTTTTTGTGGTACTGAAGACTGAACCCTGAGCCTTTTGCTTGCCACTGAGTTATTTCCCCAGCCCTTTTAAACATTTTTAAATTTTGACATAGGGTCTCGATGAATAGCCCAGGCTGGATTCAAACTTGTGATCCTCCTGCCTCAGCCTCCAGAGATCACAGGTGAACATCACTGCATCTGGTATAATAGTCTTGTACCATTTACTAGCTGTATGTCACATTACTTAGTCTTTATTTTCTCATTAAAATAGGATTCATAATAGTAACTGCTTGACCGAGTTGAGAATTAAGTGAATTAATGCAAATAAAGGGCTTAGAATAGCACCCAGCATATCACATGTAAATCTTAGTT